GGACGGCGAATTGGAGGGATTATTTGCGGGGGGCGCGTGAGTTTCCCGGAGGCCTTCCATAGTGAGTAGTTGGAGTCAGCTGTGGGGGACAAATTAGCGAGATATTTATGAAAACAGTCATTTTTTGTAATTTTTTATGATTTTGGTTAGCTTTCTAGTTGCGTTGTTTAGTTTGCATTTGTCATCCGGTGTTCTATGGGTCTGCCATACTCTTCTTAGTCTACGTTTTTCTGCTATTTTTTTAAATATGTTGTTACGTTTTTGTTTGATTTGTTTTGGTTGTGTTGCCGTTAATTTTTGAATTTAGATTAAATAGTAGCGTTGTCTGATGTTTAATGCGAGTGGCAATTAAACTCCATGTTTCGGCTAACCTGCTACGCGCAGCAGTACTGGTACGGGAGAGGATCAAAGTTGGTGAAAATAAATGTTCGCCTAATCCTATTATATTATTAGACAAATATTCTTCACAACAAATGTTTATACGTATTCTAATTGGATATTGACAGAATTGCCGTTGAGATTTCGAATACTCGAATACTCGAAGTTAAAATCGTTCGCAATATGTTTTCACTCTTATTAATTACAAAATTTTAATTTAATTAATTTTCAATAATTTACAAATTGACAAATACAAACACGTCGATTAACAAAACTGACAAGAACTGGGAACTAATGAAACAAAGAACTAAAAGCTAAAGAACTAAAGGATTAAAGAACTTAAGAACTAAGAGCAAAAAAACTAAGAGCTAAAAGAACTAAGAGCTGAAAAACTAAGGAACTAAAGAATTGAAAGGCAAAGAAACAGAGAAATTAAGAGCTAAAGGAATTGAGAAGTAATCGCTATGAACAAAGAAATTACTTGCCAAAAACTGGGGAACTGATCGCCAAGAACCAAGGAATTAATCACCAGGAACTGAGGAACTAATCACACAAAACTGAGGAATTAACTACCCTGAACTAAGGAATTATCTCTGTATTTTCTATGTCGCTACGCTCATTTATAATTAGGTCTACTGTGAAGGGGTCGTCATGTGACGGGTTATTCCGTGGGGATTGTGAGGCTCCAATTTCGTTTCTATACAAATTGATAAATTTTATTTGAATCTCAAATTGAAACGCTCACTCGCGTTACTGGTAGTTTTAGTCTACGTTACGGCGCGTGCGCAGCGCGGGACGTGACAATGTAATGGGGATATTCACGTTTGCTGATAGACGTCTTAGTAGGCGTGGAGAAGCGGATAGCGTTTATTATGCTCATGTTTAAGTATTCCGTGGCTGCTTCGATTTCTTCATTAGTTTTTAGTGGAGTTAAGGCTGAAGTTGAGTGTGTAAAGACTTCTCTAAAGAGCTGCCAGTTGGTTTGTTGGTTGTGAATGGAGCCATTAGGTGTATTCTCGATGATTGTTGATCTGACTGTTGCTATCACGGGGGAATGATCAGAGGAGAGATCGGCCAAGGAGTTGATTTGGACGTGTCTTGATGAGATATTTTTAGTTACGAAGAAGTCGAGGAGGTCGGGTATTTTATTGGTGTCAGTGGGCCAGTATGTGGGTTCGAATGTGGTGAGGTAGTTGAGGTTGTTGTTTATTATGCTGTTTAAGAGGCTTTTGCCTCTTGCTGTAACCAGTCTGCTGCCCCATTGGATGTGCTTGGCGTTATAGTCTCCTCCAGCTATGAATCTATTGCCCAGGGTGTCCAGGAAGTTATCAAAGTCTTCTTTGGCGATGGAGTGTCTGGGAGGGCAGTATACTGCTGAAGTATACTACTAGTGAAGTGGTCATGGCAGTCTTCTATTGCTACGTTTGTTGCTTGGAGGTAGTCTTTCTGGAATGATTTGATTATGATTCCGGTGCCGCCGTGGGCCTTTGCGCTGGGATGTTGGGTATGGTAGAAATTATAACCATTTATTTTCAGATAGTTTTTGTCGGTGAAGTGGGTTTCCGATACTAGCATTACGTCTATTTGCTGCTGTTTAAGGAACAGTTCTTGTTCAAATTTGTGTTGAGCTAGATCGTTGGCATTCCAAAGAGGTATGCGTCTTGGTTTTATTTTGCGTCGGGGCGTATTAATTTATCCATGATGAGCATTAATAGTGATAGCAAATTATTTGTTTGCTCTGATTGTTTTTCTATTAGCTCTTCAAGTCTAGAGACGTTGTCTGTGTTTGGTGAATTGGGGACACTATTTTGAGAATGGTCCCTGCATGTTACGTCGCGCAACACTACCTAGACCAGGCCACACACCGCGGGCCAGACGGGAACCAGATGTTCGCTCATCCTTGCTTAATTTCCTTAATATTCTTAATATTCTTAATATTCTTAAGGACGCATCATAAATACCAGTAATTTGCTAGCTAAGGTCCTTCAGACCCTGTCAGAACAAACATCTGTTTTCCGAATCATTTCTAAAGACCATTGTCTACTACGGCTTGACAAGGGAAAGTTAGTTTTTCTCACGTACGATGCAACTTTCCTCCTACTAACCACTTTCTATCGAGGGCGGCTAAGACCCTTCCTAGTCCACCAACCTTCGTTTAATCAATTAACGACGAAGCCTATTTCCCTCACTGTCTTAGCCAAAATCGTCACCAACATATCCGATGGTCCCGTGAGCTAGACATACCCATCCTTAGCTTTCCTCCGCCACAACACCGTCACCAAACACCACTGATTTTGCATCCTTCGAACGGTCTACATCCTTTGACCGGTTACACACTCGTAGATCAGTCACTCACTTATCTTATAGATACGCACCAGCGTAACTATCTTCTTTACAAAGTTGTTGGAATAAACGGTGATACAACTTACTATACAGTGTTAAATTCATTGAACCACCTCTGTTATCTAAATCGAAACAGGGGAACGACTATTTCGCGGCGTCGATTAACAGAATCGTAGCCTCTCGCTAACGCGTTTTCCTCGCGACCGCGTCTCGCCGTAAACGGTCGTAACATAATTTGATCTCAGTAGTAATAATGAAATGTAGTCATTAATATAAATGAAGTCTTTAGAAGAAAAATAGTACATGTGATAAAACCTTTAATTTGAGAAAATTAAGTTTAACAGAAGCAATGCAAACATCAGTAGGATTTCAAACATTAAAATATATTGTTATACATACTATGAAACATAATTAAAAATTCACTGTATAAATATATGTCGGGTTTACATTAGAATTAGGGTTAGGCACGTGAAAGGAATCTTCGTTTGGATTACACATTGTCCTTATGCAATAGAGAAGACATTGACTAGTGCAAATACAATTATTATAGAATTTGACAAGTAACCGTGGTACTTAGATATTCGAGAAACTAATGACAATGATCCTAGGTTCAATAACGAATCCGCAGTCGACGAGATGATAGATGAACGTGCTCACAAAATCTAAGCCGGACTCTTTCTTAAAACATGGAATATCCACCGAAAGTACAGACACTAAGTAACTCGCTAATACGACCTCACGAGAGAATGATTTTCCGTTGCGATGATGCTGCAGAAGAAAACTATGATGGGGTGTATCTAAGGGCACGAGATCATCGGATGCGTGGAAACATTCCTACGGTTTCTGTCCCGCGGCACGCCATACGCAGACCCTATTCTGCGGGTATGATGGTTACCAGATGCCGACGCATCTCCACAGTACATGTTCAGCTACCCTGATGGCCGTTATAAACACTAATATCTAGTTACCTAAAATCCTTCAACAGATAAACAGTCTTTGTCCCAGTTACAGGAAGACAGGAGAGACCTATTTTTCCACGAACGACGTCTCCCACTAGCAACCTTCCCTCGAGGGCGTCTAGCATCCTTTTCTAACTACCGATATGGAGATTGGCCATTGGCCTATTAGCAGCAACGTCAATTTCCCTTCCTTTCCGAACGTAGGATATCCCCGACGAATCCGATGATCTCGTGTCCTTAGGCACACCCCATCATAGTTTTCCTCTAAGGTATCACCGGGGCGGAAAGTCATTCTCTCTTGCGATCTCATCGACAAAAGATGAATGCCTTACGGTCAGTGGATATTAACAAAGAATCCGACTTAGATTTTTTTTGCGAGTGCGTACGACTACCGACTGGCCCGTTGTCCGCGGATTCGTTATCGAACCTAAGACCATTGTCACTAGCGTCGCGAGTGTGTGATCATTGTGAGTTTGTGTCAACTCTGTAACATTTTTGTGTGTGTCAATAAAAATAACTTCAGTGTAAAAAAAATGGATAGCTTCAGTGAGGAATCCTTACCTGTCCCAAGCTCCCGCCACGAGGACGACTCGGACCCAGATTCGGACTTTGACTCGACAAGTATAATATCGTACAATTCATCTAATTATACGCGTTGTTGTGTTAATCCCTTGACTACGTAATAAAATGACGGAGAATTCAGGACGAACGACTTCAATTTGCTGTACTTACTACTATACTGATCAAAATTTACTGTATTTCTCGTAGTGAGTAGAAAAAATTTATACTTTGAACATTTTATAAGGAATGATTGTTAGTTGTATTGCGAATGATGATATTCAAGTGTGGCATTTATTTCGTACGAATCGGAAGGTCTCTATTACTAAAAGTGACTATTTATGTATACAAAGTTCACATCAAAGTAATACATCTGAGGTGTCCGTGTTGTCTGTGATAATTGAGCTGCTGGCTGTAGATGTCGCTGATGGGGTACTGCTGATTTTCTTCCGTTTTTGATGCGTAGAAGAAAAATCGGACTCCGGTCGCCGGGATTTGAATCCGGGTCCCGAACATTCGTAACGTAAGGCGCTAACCACTGCGCTGCCGTCGTCCGACAGAAATTAGTATCGAGTGGCGATATTTGTTGTCGAGTGCCGCCACACATCAAAGTATATATCAAAAACACTTTCTTCTCAAATCGCTGGAACGATTGCAATTAAACTGCGAATACTTTATCGATAGTGTTAAATAAATAGAGCGAACAGTTATCTTATTAATTTTTGTTTTACATTGTTATTTTTATGGATATAGAGAACTAATATGGAACAAAAGCGCGGGTAAACGGCGGGAGTAACTATGACCCTCTTAAGGGGTCCCTAGGAGTGTGATAGTTGCTCAGGGACAGGGGAGACTTCGGTCTCGTCTGTTTAAATCGCACTCCTACCTCCCCGTGGTACCGCCGGTAATATGAACGCCGCGTTGGCGTGGGGAATGATCCTCCGGACGCGGCGTCCATGGCTAAACGGAGTGCGGCGGCAAAGGAGCGGAAGACTGTGAAATTAAATGAATAACAAATCGGCTTACCAATCTAACGGTTATACCGCTTTTCGGTCCCGGAAGCGCTGTGGCGGATTTATTCGCTTTGGAGGGGACCATACGTAATGACTTGCCAAGGCCCACGGATATGACTCCTAAGATCATGGCTCCTTTGATGGGAGACAAGATTGCTTGTCCGGTCTGTGAGAAAAGGCACGTTCACCTTTTCTTCATAACGCTATCATATCTGGACAGGCACCTTGGTCAACATCGCACGGATGCTCGCATCCAGTGGGGATGTTTATATTGCGAAAGGAGTTTCTCAAAGCTCCATGGGACAAAGTGCCACATTCCAAAGTGTAGTGGCACTAGTCAAAGAACAGAAGGAGCGTATAAATGCGAAGCTTACCCTATGAGCTTCGGGACTCAGAGAGGACTATCCACCCACGAACGGCATGCGCACCCTGTCGTAAGGAACGAGAAGAAAAGGGGACCGTACCCCTAAACACAAGGAAATGGACTGTAGAAGAGGAAACTCTCCTGAAGGAGTTCGATGAAATCTATAAGGACTTCAAATACCCTAATATCGAGATAAGTAAAATCCTCACTAGCAGGACTGCAGAACAAATAAAGAATAAGAGAAAGAAACTAAAGATAGCTAGTGAGGATATCAGCCCTCGGGAGGTTGCCGAGGTGTCAGAGAGAGAGTGCGATCCCGTTAACTCAGGCAATGCGCGGACGTGCGAAGAGCCTGAAATTAGCGGGGAAATATTTAATGAGGTGTCTACCCGTCAGTGGAGACTCCAACTAGAAAAAGAAGTAGAGGAACTAACTGATGTACCCCCGCCGTTAAAGGAGGTTAGCGCTCGGTTAACAGAATTTTGGGCTGTTGAGGTGTAAACAGAGAAAACACGTGGATAAATTGTAAGGCAGAAAATATATTTAAATAGAAGTGTAATAAGTAAGAATACAATTTGAGCTGGTCCAGATCCGCACGCTAGCTGTGTTACCCAATAACTGAAAAACCCCGAAGCCAACGTCGCCTGTCTACCGTTTATGGCTTGACTTCGTCGCAGTCTTTTGTCTATGCGCTGTCAATGGCTTCAGTGTTTGAGAAAACTAAAAAGACCAGATGTAGAGTTTTCTTAGAAGTGGTAACCACTTCAACATGGGCAAATAATAAAAAAAATAGAGAAGCCCTTATTATTAAGTTAAATGAATTTATTTACACATCTCTATATTGAGCAATAGAGAAAGAGAAAGGCAGGAATGGTGAAAGAAATAAAACGGCAAAACAACAAATTAAGGGAAATAAAAAGAATAATAATTATTGCTATGGAAACAAAAAGCAAAGATACTCCTACCCACGTTGCAAGGGGTTGTTTAAAGAATGTCCTAAGAAGTTGGCCGACGTTGTTATTAACAACGATCGTGCATACCTGGAACCAGCCAGTCAATCAGCAAAAGCAATAGAAATGAAAAGGCTCTATGAGGATCTGTGGGGTCGTGCAGGACCATTCAATTCAATCCAATCTCAGGAAATAGTGCCTCTGAGCTGATAATAAGTGAATTGTTTCCGTCGACAACCGCCGAGGACGTGAGTGAGAAACTTAACAAGATGAGGAAGAAGGCTGCGGCAGGACCAGATGGATTTCAAAAAGAGCACTTAATGATATCTGGCCTGCCCGCAATATTGACAAAAATTTTTTAATATTCTGTTCTATAATTCCTATTTTCCGACCGTATGGAAGGAAAATAGGACTAAATTATTACCAAATGAACCTAGCAACCAGGTCGGGAATTGGAGACCTATAACAATAGACCCCATTCTCGGCCGACTTTTCTTCTCCATCCTCGACAGAAGGATGAGAAGAGGTATTGTGCTAAACTTAAGGCAGAAAGGTTTTACATCACAAAATGGATGTAAAATTAATATAGATTTATTTAACGCTGCCTTAAGTCACAGTAAGAGAAATAACGGGGGGATATTCACAATTGTGGATATCTCCAAAATGTTCGACACAATACTCTATTCGGCGTTAAAACAATGCCTGGCAAGGAAGGGTGTGCCGGCCCCTATAATCAATTTAATCGAATGCATGTACAAAGAGGCAAGAGCAAAATAAAAACTAAAGATAATATAGGGGTCTAGATCAAGATCCTTAGAGGAGTCAAGCAGGGTGACCCTCTGTCGCCGCTGCTATTTAATCTATGTCTAGAGTCGCTGCTGGAAATAATAGAGGAGCAAACCAGTGGCATTAATGTCAGTCATGGGAGAAAAGTACCAATCCTGACTTTCGCTGACGACATTGTCGTAAAATTCGTGGTGAAGATGAGAGGGAGCCACAATGCCAAATGGATATACTTCATGAATACCTGAAGGGCCTAGGAATGAATATATCAGGAGAGAAGAGCCAAACGTTCCAGGTGATTGCGAAAAAGGACACCAGATTCGTAAAGGTATCACGGATTAGGCTCGAAAACATAAACATACCAACCGTTGACCCAGATGAGGCCTTCAGGTATATAGGCGCCAAACTATGGCCTTGTAAGGGTATTCATTGTGGCATCATAGTATCTGAAATTTTGAGCGTGGTCAGAAGAGTTAGAATGCCCCCTCTGAAACTAATCCAGAAAATTGAGTTAATAACGAAGTACATCTTCCCTCGATGTATTTAACATCTGCTTATAAATACACCAAGCGATAGTGTATTAAAACTGTTGGACAAAGAAGTCATGGAAGAAATAAAGGCCATATTACACCTAGTGCCTTCGACAGCCACGGGTTCCTTCTACACTCCAAAAGCTAATGGAGGATTAGGGTTACTGAGGTTTGAACACATTATCAACCTCGGTACCCTAGAAAGCGATTTATATTAAGAACTCAGTCGATCCAGCGGCCTCTAGCCTGATTAATGAAGAAAGTGACAGGAAAGAAAAGAAAATAGCGAACTCCCTAAGGATCAATTGTCCGGCCACTTCTGAGGACATTGAGAACGCCAGGAGGAGGCTCAAGTAAGTCTCGTGGTCGACGTTACCGTCCGCTACGAGAACAGGGATTACCTCCTAAAGGTAAGAAGAGAGAGAAAGAAAGAAAAGGTCGACAAGTACTTCCCATGTCCAAATTACCTCAAGAAAAAGTATAATGTCGACGATGGAGAGATATTGCCCGTGGTCTTGGGCAATAGAGGGGTAATAACGCCTAATATAGAAGGAAATTTAAAATATATGGGGATCACTGATAAAGAAATCAAGACGATAGTGATGAAAGTCTTAAGAAGTTCCATCGAGATGTGTAATATATTTTTTAGATGGGTGACAGTACGTTCGCAAGTTTTCAGATCCCGTACGTTCGCGCATTTAAAGAACATCGCCTTCTTATCGAAAAACAAACTCAAGAGAGATTGGTTTTAGGTTAGGTTATTTTGGAGCGAGCGCAGCGATCGAGCAACGTGTAAACGTGTGTCACGTACCAATGGTGTGGACCATAGGGACTTTGAAATATTCGCATCAGCCCTAGGAGCCAAAGACTTTTTTCGAATTGTTTTCTTAAGTAACGTCACAAGGTAACGATATTTTTACATAAATCGTTCTATTTCGGAGAAATACGGAAGAATGTAACGTTCATTTGATCGCTAAGAATGATTGAAAAAAAATTTTTCTCTTCAGCCGCTATTTAAGACTCAGCTGAGAACTAGCACGAACCATGGGAATCCGTCTGTTCAATTAAAACAAGCATTGTGAGGAGTTGACGCAATGTGATTTCTGTCCAGTGCTCTGTCAACGTGAATGAATTGAAAAAAGACACAAAAGCACGGGTAAACGTCGGGAGTAACTATGACTCTCCTAAGGGGTGGGTATGGGTTTTCAGGACGTAGGACTACGTCCTGCGAAACCCCGATGAATCTGATATTATCCTATAGTCGGGTGGTGGCTGGTCGGCTCCTCTGGCACCCGCCAGTTTGCCGATCCGGCGAGGAGAATTTTGGAGAAGTTGGTGGGCGTATATCTGCGAAGACCACTAACTTCACCTTCTCGTGGGGCTCCCCGTCACCCTGTACCGGCCTTGACCAGGGTAGGGTGCGAAAGAGAGAGTGGCACCAGGATGGAAACTTTCGTGGACAACTTGGCGACAGACACTTATATACAATGATGGAGTTAGATAATAAAAAGAAACAGGTTTACGGTGCAGGTGAGGGAGACTCCTTCACGACGCAGTTATGGGTAGACAAGTGGGCCCCACTGCGTCGTCATCTCACGACCACGGCCGTTCGGGAGTGGACCGCTAGGCTCCCGGACATGTTTCTGCGCATGGCGAGGCGGAAAGCAACAGAATGGAGGTTGCGGAGGAATTTCAAAGAAGAATGACAAGGGGTTCGCATAAAGCTGCAGACAGGTCGGAGAGTATGCTTTTCGCTCCGGCCATGGTAGCTGGTGCCATGTCATCGATGGCAGGAGGATTATGGGCGAGAACCAAGTCCGACGACGAAGAATCGGTAGCTTCGTCCGCGCCGCGCTCATCGATGGCTTCGACGGCGTCCAGGGGAAGAAGTGGAGGACGATGATCACAACACCGGACGTGCCTGAGGAACTGGCAATCCAAATAAGGACGAGCTCGGCCGCGGACGTCAGCGCCGGGCTAACTATGCACGTCTCTGAAATCATGCGGGTTGCGACGTCATCGTCCAACCTCAAGGGCACGTACATAAAAGCCCTCAAGGACGCGGCGAGTTACATCACCGCCGCGGGGAAGAACGAATTCCCCGAAGAGG